TAGCTCCACTCCTGTAGTTGTCATGAAACACTGAACTAAGAAGATTCTTGGAAGATGATTAGAAATGAAAACCCTCCCTTTTCTCCACCCATCTCCAATTCTCCCTGGAACTCCAGCCCATGTGCTCAGGACACACCCATCTGCACCTGAGCCCACAGACCAGAAGGTCAGGGTATCATCCTAGGCAAAGCACAGGGCAGTCACAGAGTAACCCTGAGCTGGTCCCCACACTTCGACTCTATGTGCTGTGTGACACTGAGCAACACTCTGTACCTCTCCATCTTTAATTCTCCACCTACTTCTCTACCTAGAAAATGGTGACAATAGGGCCTACTAACCCCTCCTCATAGGGATCATGAGAATCAAAGAAGGTAACAGATGCCAAAATGCATCCTGAGCTGCAGAGTGACACGCAAACACAAGTCATCCCAGTATTGACCCACCGTGTCGGCTTCCTCTGATTGTGAACCACATTGGTCCTAAAAGTTGGTAAGGACCTCAGGTTGCCAGATAAGAAACAAGATGTACAGTGAAATTTGAATTTCAGATAAACAACCAGCATGTTTTTAGTATAAGTATGGCCCAAGTAACATTTGTACCAGAGTTCCCCATAAAATTAATCATCAAGTACTTATGCTAAAAATAGGCAATCAATGTTTATCTGAAATCCAAATTTCACTGGATGTCCTGTTTTTTTTAATTCACTCGATCTAGCAACCCAGCCATGCTAGGCCACCAGCTGTTCCCTCCCTTGCTGTGTCCTGATTCCAGGACCCCACAGGCCTGGGCTCACCCCTCTCAGGGTCAGTGGTCCTGGCTCTAGTTCTGTGGGCCTGGCACACTTCCTCGTGGGATGAGCAGCTGTATCTGGAGCATCTGGAACAGGGCCTGTAGAGGGTATGAGACAGGTATGGGTCCCCTCCTCTGACCACTTCCTGTCCCTCCCAGCTTAGGGCACACCAGCAGAAGTTGGCTGCATGACCTCCTAGGCCTGGGCTGCCTGCCAGCAGGGAGTCCTGTGGAGGACAAGGAGAACATGGGGTTGCCAAGCTTTAAGGGCTCCACTCACAGATGGCACACTCGCAGCAACCCTCTGTCTTCACGTGCTTGAGGCCCAGGAAGTATGAACGCTGCTGAGTGGCCACCGTGCCCCAGGCAGTCCATCAGCCAAAGACGGAAAGGCTGAGAACCTCACTCCAAAGGACTCAAAGCCTTGTTGGAAACATGATTTCACAGTAGGTCAGATAGAATAAAGCACACAAGTGATTTTTTTTAATTCTACAAGGAATAGGGGAACTGAGGAGGAGTGGTCAGCAGTTGATGGCCAGGGGACAGAGAGAGGTGTTTCAGTAGGACTACCACTCCGAGGAGCCAAGCCAGGACCCAGCCAGTGCACCACAGGCCTGAGGGAGGGTGACACTGGGGAGCGCCCCAGCTCCCCCACCAAGAGAGCCTGAAGGGTCGTGTGGAAGCATTTGTAAGGGGCCAGGAGAGAGATGACTGCAAAAGCAGCATATTCTGGTCCACAATAGTTCAATAGCGTCATACAGCACAACAAGGGAAGAAGCATCAAGTGAGAAAACATTCTGGAAGAGTTAAAATTTAATGATAACTGTGCAAATGATATTTCATTGCTCATGCTGAGAAAAAGCTGATTTGCATGCTCAGATTTGATTTGCTATATCCTGACTTAAAAAAGACCCTGTCAATAAGGAGAAGACAAAATACATCCTCAAGTGTAATTCTTCCAGCCTCAAGGCTACAGGGACACAGGCATGCCCCCAACTCCCCCCAGGCACATCTTTGAGATGGGTGTATCACCAGACCCTCTGCCCCCTTCCCAGTGGCTGAACTTGAAAAGTCCAGCTCACTAATTTCTGCTCAAGGACCCTATTTCCCTTTGTGGGTTCTGGAGCTTTGCAGAGCCTTCTCAATCTGGTGCAAATCTGACCAGCACCTAGCATGGTGGATGGCGAGTTGGAAGACGTGATGAAAGCTCTCTGGACTCCTACAGGGTTGCCGTACAACACAGGGCAGGTGGCAACATTTCATCTCCTAACACCCATAATTTAGATAAAATTTCAGCTAATGACCATTTTTAGTGTGGCTGTAAACAACACCCCAATTAATGTACTATACTAATGTTTGCTGGACGCTGGCCCTCCGGAGGGAATCAAAGCCATCTCTGCACTTGGAGCCCTGAGCACAATTGAGAGACAAACAGGAAAATGGCAAAATCATGACATCACTTCTTAATTCTCCAATTCATCTTGAAACTCAGCTTTAACTGAGACAGTATATGCCATGGTGTGGATGAATGCCTTCTGCCACGCCAGCCTGTGAACCATCCCTAAGGATACCTGCTTCCATCTCTTGCCATGGGCAGAATTTATATAGTTTTGGGCTTGAATTCAAAAGTAAATACAACTGGATTCAAATTCACTAATTTGAAATTTGTGCTGATTCTGGAATTATAGTATTATAATTGACTTTCAATAAAATAAGATCTCCTAAGCTAGTCAATAATGTGAATAATATCATGGCAGAGCTGGAGGTATTTGCTCATTGATTTAATAAATATTTCTTGTGCTGTGCACCATGTTACATGACGATGATAGCCTGGGGACCCACACAGATATGGTCACAGCCACAGTAAAGCACCCAGGCCAGCAAGAAAGACAAGCATTAAACAATAATCACCCATTTAAATACTTAACTACAATTATTCTAAGTACTGGAAAGGAGATGGGCATAGCATGCTATGAAAGCATACAAGAGGGAGACTTAAAAAAGCCCGAGGAAGCTGCCTTGATGAAGGGTCCTGTGACCTGTGTTCTGAAGCATACGTAAGAGTAAAGCAGGTAATGGAGAAAAGATCAAAGAATTCCAGGAAGAGGGAGCAATGTGCGCAAGTGCCCTGAGGCAGGAAGTACAAAGCACATTGAAGAAGCTGATAAAAGTCCAGGGTGGCTGGAAAGTCAAGTATGAGGGGGAAAATAGTCCAAGAGGAGGATGGAAAGGGAGGCTCTTTGTTAAGGAGATTGATTTTCATTCTTTTTAACTGACAAGCTATTGCGGGATTCTAAGCAAAAGGTTGACAGGAACAGATTTGAATCGTTAAGGCTGTTCTTAGATGCAGTGCAGAGAATGAATATGGGTTCCTGCAGTAGCCAAAAGAGATGTGACAGCAGCTGTGGCCGCACAGTGACTGTGGAGATGAAGATCAGTGTACGGGGGCAAGAAACCTTTAAAAGATGAGACTCACCAGACCTGGAAATGGATTGGATGTGGAGAGGTGGGTAAGAGAGAAGGAGAGAAAGTCACAGGTGACTCTCACATTTCTCGGATCCTCAGGAAGAGAACTGGCCTGTGGGTGGGTCGTGGGCTCCATTTTAAATGTGTGAGTCTGTGGAGCTGGCCTGTGGACAGTTGAAGACAGGGACTGGAGCCCAGACAAGCAGCCTAGGCTGGACATGGTCATCAGTGTGTGGCTGCTCGCCCCGGCCATGGGTGTGGGTGAAATCGCCTGTGTGGGGACCTCAAAGGAGAGCAGAGGCCCAGGGGTTTGGACAGAAAGAAATCCAACCATCTAGGAGAGGAAGCTAAAAGATGGAACAGCAGTCAGGGTCGGAAGATGGAAAGAGTGTGGGTCCCTGGGTATATAACCACACATTGTTACCTGAAAAATGCTCTGTGACCAGACTTCACTAATTTGGTTGGCTTCCCTCAAATGATCCAAAGTCGTGAGCAAGACAGTTCTGTGGAGGCCCCTGGAAAGTGCATTTCAACAGCAATCACAGTGTGTCCATGAATCCAAGCACAGAGTGTTCACAAAATAAATGTCACCGCGTCCTTCTGCACTTACGTCTTGTCCATGTGTGATGTGGATTGACTTCATCCTCATCCCTGAGTTGCACCTCCGTGGGACAGCAGGCAGTGCTCACTATTTAATGATAGAAATGGATCATCTAGATTTTACAGATGCCCATAAGACCTAAGACCAGGGATTCTTCTCGCTAGAACTTCTTTTTCTAGCTGCTGTTTGCCCTCCAGAAAAATCCAGGGTAAAGATACCCAGTTCAGAGCATTTCCATAAACATGTATTCGGCTTCTTTGCTGGTGTGCTCAAGACTCCCTTCCTGGGCTCAAAGAATTCTCTTTCTAGTTGAGGAGGCAATGAAGTATCAATTCCTAAGCCATATGGGTTATAATACATGATCTGTGACAATACAGCATGAGCTACGGTAAAGGTGAATGCAGTGTGCTGGGGTCACAAAGGACAGCCGGGAAGTCAGGGACAGAGCCAGCAAATCATGGCAGACACAAAGCCTTCTGTGAGTGACCAAAGGGATGCACTCCACAAACCTGAGTTACTATGATTATTAATATTATTAACAAACTACCATGGACTAGATTAATATCCAGGAAGGTCTTGTGGAAGCCCCAGTGGTCTGTATTTAAAATTTGCATAGTGGATTTATTTTAATTAGTTTACACTTCATTCTGAGCACTCTTATATTTCTCTTGGGCAGCTTTTTGGTTCTTTTAGCTGTCAGAATAGATACTCAAGCCTCCTGCCAACAATAAATCAAACACTGCTACTGTGTGCTGAGTGGATTCAAGTTCTGCCACTCTGGTTCTTTCCTACAGACCTGAGATATTCATTCCCATGCAAAGAGGGACTTTGGTCAGATGTTACTGGCAAAAATAACTCACAACTGCGCCAATCATAATAAAACTCCCAAAAGTTTAACACAGGTTCCTAAAGCTTTCTTGGACCAGAGAAAAATTAATGAATATTGGAAAGGATATAAATTGGCCCTATATTGGATTTTACCAAAAATGCCTATGTTTGCAATTTTGTTGAGTTCAAGGGTGGATTTTTTTTTAATTGAAAGTCAATTTTATTACCCACATTTAAGACATCTTCAGCATCAAACGAGTGTTTGGCCCTTTGGTCAGTTGGGTTCCACTGAAATTATTTTTCTTCTGATTTCTAGATGAGCAGTGATGACAGCAAATACAATCATGAAAAGAAGTTTTAAAACTACACATCCTAAAATCCATCAAAGCAGGCACCTGCAGCCCCCACTGTCATAACAGGTATGGAACTAACTCAAGGAAATGCCTTTGGTTGTTAGCTACCATGTGGATGGGTTCCCCCAGGTACTGGGGGACCAAGGGGTGGGAGTAAGGGGGTGAAGACAACTTTATGACTGTCCCTTCTGAACCCAGGTAAATCAAATCAGACTTGAAGAAATTATCTGAATGAAGCTAGCAAGGGGGAGTTCTCTCTTTTTCCTGAGGCAGAAGAAATGTGGTTACAATAGTTCCCCTCATGTGCAAGGTTTCACTTTCTGTGTTTTCAGTTACCTGCAGTCAACCACAGTCTAGAAGCAAATCATCCTCCTTCTTACATATCATCAGATGGTCAATAGTAGCCTAACACTAATCACAATGCCTGCATCATTCGCTTCACTTCCTCTCATCACATAGGCATTTTATCATGTCCCATCATCACAAGAAGGGTGAGCACAGTCCAATAAGATATTTTGAGAGAGAGAGAGAGAGACCACATCCACATAACTTTTGTTTTAGTATGTTATTGTAATCGTTCTGTTTTATTATTAGTTATTGTTAATCTCTTACCATCCCTAACAAAAAAAATTGAAGTTTCTCATAGGTTTTCATGTATAAGAAAAAACATAGTATACATAGGGTTCAGTACTATCCATGGCATCGTGAACCCTCTGGGGGTCTTGGGACGTATCTGCTACTGATAAATGTGGACTAACTGCGCTTTATGAGTTTTCTAAATATCAACGAACACCTGCATTACTCTTTGGAATTACAACACAAACCCAAGATTAGTGAGGGTTGTTTGGCCACACAACAAAAACAGAAGCCGGGCAAATTAAGCAGAAATGGGTAAGTATTAAAAGTCAATTGGAGCCCACATGGATTCAAGGTGAAGGTTGGTGTTACAGGCTGGGAAAGAGCGAACAGAGCTCTGCTGCCAGAAAGAATATCCTAGCGCATTTCCATCCTTGGATCACTCTGGGAAAAACAGTGTGATGGGCCTGGCCTGAGTCTCACATTAGCACTTGGTCTTGGGAGGTCTCCCCAAACACCTGAACTTCCAGCCCCAGCAAGACTGAACATGGCAGGGAGAGGAAATTCCCCAAAAGGGATAAAATATTTTTACTCAGAGAAGGGAGATGGAAGCTGAGTTGTTCAAAAAAACAACAAATTCCTACTAATAGTAGAGGGCAGTTAATAAACTGGGGTGGAGGGTGTTTACTTAATTCTGAGGTTCTAAATTTAAATCTCCAACTGTTCTCTTTTCATCATAATTTGGAAATAAAGAAACCCCAATATTTCTCCATTGCCCAGTTTGGACATTGCCAAGATCGAAACACCAGCTTTCAAGATACCAGAAGACTACCTGAGGTTCTGTAGGACCTCAAGATACAGAAAACTTGACTTATGGTGGCCAAAGCCACTAAGGTCCCTCACATCCTCCCACCAGGTAACACAGATCCCAGCAGGTGTGGTTGTGGTACGGGCTCCTGGCTCAGCAGTGCCATGCAGGACCCGGACAGGCCCTCATCACGCTGGTCTTTGGTCATCACTGCTTGTCCCTCAGGGTTCCACAGTGAAGGCCTCAGTGCTATGAGTTGAATGGTACCCCACCACACCCAAGATGCATATGTTGAAATCCTGACCCCAGATCTCAGGATGTGATCTTACTTGGAATAGGGTCATAGCAAATATAATTCATTAAAATGAGGTCACTGGGGTGGGCTCTGGTGTCCTTCAAAGAAGGAGAAATTTGGACACAGAGGCCTGCAAAGAGGAAAGACCATGTGAAGTCGACTCTCCATAAGCTGGGAGACAGGCCGGGGTCAGGCCCACCCTCATGGCCCTCAGAAGACCTCGCTTTGGGACTTTGAGCCTCCAGGACCATGAGATAATAACTTCCTGTTGTCAAAGACACATTCCCATTAACTGTGCACAAGTGTTTCAGTTTCTTCTCGTTCTTATCAGCTCTTGTTATTCTCTTGTTTTCCAGTTTATCCGTTTTTGGGGGTTTTTTTGATGGTAGCCATCTTAATGGGTGAAGGCAGTACATTGCATTCCCTACTGGATCCTGTCTGGGAATGCTGGGACCCTGACCACTACCCATGTTCATAGCAGCATTATTCAAAATAGCCAAAAGATAAAAGCAACTGTGCCCATTGAAAGATGAATGTATAAACAAAATGTGGTCTATATACACAGTGGAATATTGTTCAGCCTTAAAAAGGGAAGAAATTCTGACATATGCTACAGCATGAATGATCCTTGAGGACATTATGCTAAGTGAATAAACCAGTTGCAAAAAGACAATTCCTGTATGATTCCATCATATGAGGCACCTGAATGGTCAAATTCATAGAGATAGAAAGTAGAAGAATGGTTGCGAGGGGCTGGGGGAGGAGGAATGGGCATTCTGTCTGGGAAGATGAAAAAGCTCTGGAGATGGATGGTGATGCTGATTGCCCAGCAATGTGAATAGACTCAATGCCTCTGAACTGCACTCTTAAAAATGGTCAAGGTGATAAATTTTATGGCATGCATATGTCACTACAATTTGTTTTTAAATAAAAAGATAATATAAGGAAGGGGCTATTACAGGATGTAAGAATTAGGGAGACCCCAGGATGTAGGCTCACTCGGGAGGAGTAGGAGCCAGCATCCCCACAGCCTCAGGAGACCATGAGGCCAGTGGTTGCAGGGCCCAGCAAGAATCAGAGCCCAGGGAGGGGCCATGGTCACAGAAGGCTGTGGCATTGCCAGGACCCCACACCATAGCCAGAAGCAGGGAGTGGGGAAAAATGCTAGGGATGCTGGCTTCCCCTCCCACCAGCTGCTCCCAGCATCTCCCATTGGCCACACCCAAGGGCGAGTCAGACAGTAAGGCACCCAGGCAATGCAGGCTCTTGGGTACAGGGCCCTCTCGGAGTCACTCTGGGACCAGTTCAACCAGCAAACAGACAGCCTAGTGGCTCCTGAGCTCCTGGGTCTGACAGTCTAATGAGGGGAAAGGCAACAAAGAAGTAAATTTAATTTTAGAATGTGTTCAGTGCCACAAAGAAAATAAACCAAGTACCATGAGAAAGAGTAACAGGAGACACCTCATATGATGTCAGAGACCATCTCTCTGCAAAAATAACATGTCTGAACTTTAGGCCCTGTATTAGACAGAGGAACTGAACCAATAGATGTGTGTATAGAGAGATATATTTTAAGGAACTGATTCATGCAATTATGAGGGCTGGCAAGTCAGATATCTGCGGGGCCAAACTGGAGACTCAGGGAGGAACTGATGTTGCAGCTCCGGCCCAAAGAATGGAGACAGAATTCCCTCTTCCTTAAAAAATCTCATTCCTTTGGTTATAGTCCATCTACATTATGGAGGGCAATCTGCTTTACTCAAAGTCTACTACTTTAAATATTAATTATATCTAAAAAAATTTCATCTAAAAAATACCTTCATAGCAATATCTGGACTGGCATTTGACCAAAAACTGGCATCAGGGCCCAGCCAAGTGGACATACAAAACTATCACACCATTACCCTCCTGGGCTAGCTTGTAGTTCTTACATGGAGTTGCTAAGTTGGATCCTATTCATACCCTGCATTTCTTTCTTTTGCAGAAAAAAAGTCCCACCTTGTAATTGCATCTGGTCAACAGGAAGCTCTAGTTTTGTGGGAAGAGGGCTACATCTAACCCTTCCAGAATCATCACCCAGAGGTGCCCACTGGCTGACCAGGGACAGTCTTCCCAGTTGGCAGACGATGCAGGGGAACAAGAAGTGTACTGATGGGTTCAGCGACTCCTCAAGCATAGGCAGTGTGCTGGACGATGCAGACAGGGAGGTGAGCAGCCTCACGGACCGGGCTTTCCGAAGCTTGTGCATCTCAGAGGACACATCGTTCAATGACCCTGACCTGGCCCTGTCCCCGGATATCACCCGCCAGGTGTTTGGGAATTTCCACCAGGAAACAGTGAGCCACACCCACAGGAAAAGTGGCATTTGGAGCCAGTTACCATCACAAGGCACTGAGCATGCAGGCTGGGCGGCAACCTTCCAACAGCTACCTAAGTATGTTCAAGGAGAGGGGAAATACCCCAAAAGCAGCCCCCCATTGACACCAGTGCAGCAGAGACTGGAGGTGCCAGTTTCCGGCCTGAGAAGCAGCAACAAGCCTATTTCCAAAGTGTCATCACTAATTAAATCTTTCAACAGGACAGAGAACCAACGTTGTGACAGCAGGCCTCCTACCAGCAAGCCTCCAGCTCTCAAAAACCCCCCTAAATTTGCTCCTCTTCCGGAAAGTGGTATCAACTTCTGCTTTGATTCTGCCTTTTTGACTGTGAGGAGGGTGCCCGCTGAAGTCTCCAGCACCCACCAGATCAGCCACCAGCCTGGCAGGAGGCACAGTGAGCAGGAGTCCCCCAAGAGTTCCGAGATCGCCTGTCATGACATGAGCAGCTTCCTCCCAACTCCGGAAAATGTGGCCAACTCATTTGAGTCGAAGTTCCTCTCTCTGCCCCACAAGCCAGCCAAGGGGGAGCCTGGGAAAGGCAAGGAGTGGACTCACAAAGGGACCTTTCTTCATAGTGAAAACAGTGCTTTTGAGTCATGGAATGCCCACCAGCCAAGGTTGCCCGAGAGAAAGGACACTGCTGACTCCGTCCCAGAAAGCGAAGCCCCCAGACATTATGGGGACTCGCCCTTGTTAGATTCCCAGGCACCTGAGCACAGAGTCTCTCCCTGCCAAGTCCAGGCCAGCTGCAGCCAGGAGGAGAACAGGCTCTCAGCAGGAGCTCTCTCCACACCTGCACCCTGGGGATCGAGGGATCTGGGAGCCCAGGTATTTGCCACAGAGGGAAAAGCTTCCAGCTCACAGCCTGACCCTCAGGTGAAGCCAACCCAGCCCCCATGGAGGAAACCAAAGCCTAGCAAAGGAAGGAAAGAAAGTGTACAAAATGCTTCCGAGGAGAAAAAGCAGACCAACAGGAGAGGCCCACCCTTACATACAAAGCACAATCCCCAGGGGCAATTTCCAGAAAATGGTGCTCCTGACATGACCGTGGACCCCAATGAGTATTACAATCCTCCTTTCAACATCAGTAAGCTTCTGACCCCTGTCATACCCACCAAGCACATCCTGGACTCATCCGACCCCCAGCCAGCAGAGATAACCCCATCACCCCCAGGACAGATAAACGGATACCAAGAGAAGGAGCCAGGTGAATGTCAGTCTCGGGACAGCTACAAATCCAAAGCCCCAAGCCTGCTATTCAACCTCAAGGATGTGCGGAAGCATGTTAAGAGCACATATAGCCCCTCACCTCTCTTAAAAGGTGTTGATGACAAAACCAGAGGTAAGCAAGAACCCATGATCAACGGTGTTATCCTTCCCAATGGGCTTGAGGAAAGCCCCCCAAATGAGATTTCTGAGAGACCAGCTGATGCCCCTTCTGGATTGCATGTCAGCACCCAGAAAGAACCCAGAGCCAACCCCGATGCAGACAACACAGACAACTGTCTAACTCTGAGCTCACCTCCAGACATCGCCAAAGCCCCCTCCTGTGTCAATGGGGAGACCGCTTACGGGAACAGCTATAAGAAGAGCGATGCCAATGGAGAATTAGAGATGGTTGCCACCAGGTCCAGCTGGGGTCCAGACACCAGGGATCACTGCCTCAGGAAGCAGTGGTCCCTGAAGCTGTGCAGCAGAGAGCCAGAACCAGGGAAGGTGGAGGAGAAACCAAAGACCCCCAGCCTAGAAAAGAGGCTCTCAAGATCAGTCTCTCAAGAGACAGAACCCGAGGGAGAGGCAGGACTTCAGAATCCAAACATCAACCAGAAATTCTCCCCTGGGCCCCTCTCTCTGGAGGAGGAAGATGTGTTTTATAGTGACAGCCAGTCTGATTTTATGCCAGGCTTCAAAAGTAAAGCCAAATTCAGCACCAGCTCTTCAGATCAGTCGTTTGCCTCATTCGAGGACCCACAGAAGATGTGGTTCACCGAGAGCCAGCAGGAAGACAGGAGGAATGACGTGGGTGCAGGTAACAGTGAGAAGCAGAAAGTGATGAGAAAGGAGCTCCAGTACCGTGCCTTAAGTAATGGGCATGCGTGCATGGAGGAGCCCAGCAGGATGGAATCACTGCAAGGAGAAGGGGAAAGTCTGTCTGGAGGTAGACCCAGGAAGGCTTCAAGGGAGGAAGCTAATTTCAAAGGCGCATGGATCGGAGGAAGTAAGGATACAAACCTTTCACATGCCAAAGACCTTACCCCCTCACCATCTTCCACTTCAAACAAGCACATTCTGTTTGCAATTAAAGACAACACCCTCAGGGCCACTCCTGTGATAAAGCCCATCATGCTGCCCCTCCTGAGGGCCTTGTCCTCAGAGGACTCTCTCGTCAGTGGCCACAAAGAGGAGGAATTGCCAAGGCCAGGCTGGGGTGAGGATGCAGGACTCTGTGCCCCTGAGAGCCAGGAAATGCCCAGCACCCCAACACCTGTTAGCATGCAGGGCACACACTGGAAGCACACAACCTATGAGGGCACAGAGGACCACAGGCAGGTGCCCAGAGTGGCCAGGACAGACACCTCCCAGCCAGCCCCAAAGAGAAATGTCCAGTCTCCTCTGGTGGGGGGAGAGGGCGAAGGGCTGAAGCCACCCTTGGAGACAGCATATAAAGCTGTGGCCAATGACAGCAAGCAGGGTTCCACAGACCAGGCGAAGCTGGATGTTCCAAGGCACATCCCTACGATCACTTTGCCGCAAGGTGACCTAGATGACCAGCCACCCCCAAAACAGCTGGAAGCCTGTTGGAAAGAGCCAACAGAAGATTTCAAAAGTCACTTTTTGTCTATCTTCAGAACAGAGCCCCAGGGCAGAAGATTGGTGTCTGGTGAGATGACAACTTCCCCCAATGCCAGCTCCCTGGAGGAGAATAGTGTATGCTCCCCTGCTGCCAACAGCATGTGGGACCATGCTTCCCAGACCCCCAGAGAGCTGGGCCTACTGCCCGGGGAACCTCCCCACACCAGCCCCTGGGCCAGCTCCTGCCCTGCAAGGGGCACCCGGAGGGAGGACCTGACACATGCCCTCACATGGGAGGCCAGCTCTGACCCCCAACTTGAGCCATTAACAGAAGATCTCAGGACGCTTTCTCCAGGAGGCTCATTGATGGACACAGCCACCAGTTCAGCAGGCCTCCCTGAGAAACCAGAGCCTCCTGCTCAGCTGGAGAGGGCAGCTGGCAAGCCACCTGCAGTCCCACCCAAAACAGAAAAGGCCCTGCGGCGGGCAAAGAAGCTGGCAAGCAAGCGGAAAAAGCCTGACCAGTGGCAGAAGCACGGTGAACCCCAGGAGGAAAAGCCCTGCCTGGGGGACACAGAGCATAGACCGCTGTCCCCCGAAGAGAGGCCCCGGTCCAGGTTCCCTGTGGTCCGTTCCCTGCCCCCTCCTGTGCACCGCCACTCAGTGTCTGTCTTCTCAGAGCCAGTCAGGGGGCAGCCTGGGGGGTCCCAGTCCCTCACGCCCTTGCCCCCTTACCCTGCCACACAGAAGGTCCTTCAAGACCCCCAGTCTGGAGAGTACTTTGTCTTTGATCTGCCACTCCAGGTGAAAATCAAAACCTTCTATGACCCAGAGACAGGCAAATACGTCAAAGTCCCCATCCCATCCTTGGAGGGCAGCTCCCCCGAGCCCTCCCCACCAGAGGCACTGGCTGCCCCCTATATGCTGTACCCCCACCTCCAGCCCCTGCCTGTGACAGCCTCGATGCCGCTACGCTGCTCCTCTCAGCTCTCTGCCCCCACCTTCCTGAGGCGGGGCCCTCACACTGAGCAGACAGCCGGCCCCGGGCCCCAGAGTGCCCTCAATGCCAGCCTACAGCTGGCCCCCAAACCTCACAGCAGCCCCACCCAGCACTCTGCAGACCAGCACTCTGATGGGCCTCCCAGGAGCCGAGGGGAGGAGGGGGGAGATGCTCCAAGCCTGAGCATCATCTCCACCAATGACCTAGAGGACTTTGCCACAGAAGGCATTTCTTGAGAATTACAGCTGACTCACCAGTCCCTATAAACCCAGAAGAGTTTACTTCCCCTTCCCCCAGATGAACACTTACACACACACACACACACACACACACACACACACACACACACACACACACACACACACTTCAACACAAACTTAGCCATTTGAGGATCTGAGGTCCCTAAAGTCTCAGAAGAAGTGAAAGTCCTGAGGAAACCCCATCTGAATGGCTCCCTGGTGCTCTTCTCCCTGGGAGGGTGCCGCTTGCATGCCCTGGGCCCTTCCGAGCCCCTTCCTGTATCCCGGATCCCTCCACTTCTTTCCTCCTCCCTGTCCTTCTCTGTCCCTGCCACCAGCGCAGTCTAGCCTGATTCCTAAAGGCTATTCTTCTCCAGCACCCCTACCCACTCCTCAAGGACAGGTTTGCCCCCTGAAAGGCTGTGTTGCGCTGAGCCCTGCCTGGCAAGCCGACCACCCAGCACGCCCCCTACCCCCCAGTCTAGGTCAGGCATGGCACATGTCTCCCCTCACACAGACAGAGCAGCCATCTCCAGCTTACCTCCTGCAGCATTAGCTGAGGACCGACCCAAGGCAACTGTGCAGAAATGTTTATTTGAATAGAATGGGTTTTCTTTACTAAGGAAACTTTCCTCTGAAGGCTATTTTCTGAAAAAGAAAAGGCTCCGTTTTAAGAAGTGAAACAAGTTTGTAGATGTGCTTCTATCACCAGAATGCTGTCTTTCTTCTGTGGGCAGTGGCAAGTCTCAGCTGCTGAGCAAAGCAAAGGGCTGTGTGTCCCCCAGGCTTTCCATCCCGGCCATAGGGTCTCCACATCTGAACAGAGCAGCCTTGGCGTCCGCTACAGGCCCAGCGTCCCTCCAGATCTTCCAGCACCTGCCCATGCCTTCTTGGGGCCATGCTCTCCACTAGCACTGGGGACAGAGATGGGGGGGCCCCAAGCCCACTGCCAAGGATGGTCCAAGGACCTAAGTCAGGCCCCAACTCTCCTGACTTAATGACCGGTACCTGTGCCCTGTACTCAAAAGGAAATAGTATTTCCCCCAAGTCACTGGCCTTTAGAGATTTGGAGGAAGATACTCAATCAACTCAAGGGAACAGAGAGCAATAACAACCACCCTTGTACTTCTGGGAGCAGGGAGGGTCTGTGAGCAGATGCCCACCATGGGCAACGGTGCTATGAAGGAAACCCAGCCGGTCCTCATGGGCTTTCCCCCCAGGACTTCTGCTGAAGCCTTTTAATTCTTGTGCTGTGGGAAAGACAGGGGGCAAAAGTGTTTCCCACCTCATTTAGAAAGGGCAGCTGCCAGAACTGTAGTGCCAACACACCAGGGGACCACCCAAAATGCATCGTCCTTGTTCTTCTGGCAAAGGTTCTGTTTCCTGGCTGGGAAGATGGGAAGACATGTGCTCACCAGGTTCCCAACTCACACAAATACAGGGACTTGGAGCATATTCTGGGTCATGATTTGGATCCAGGATTTTATACCTGTATGTTTTACCAATAAGCACAGCCACACCTTAATGTTGTTGTGAAAGTGCTACACAAATGCCCCAGCTCAGTGCCCTGGTAGGACAGCTAGACAATTAGTCAGGAATACAGGCAGACCATTGGCTGAGAAATCTGGATCCACAAGTTACTCACTGGGGTGCAACTGAGGAAAACACAGTTGTGATCGTGGCTCTGCTACCAGATGGCTAAGTGTGCTCTCATCTCGTTTTCATCTCACTAAGATAGGAAAAGCAATGTCTCATTTTAAAATTCTCAGGGCGTGGGAAAAGCACTGTCTAACAAAAGAAGAGCCCCTTGGTTAAAAAACAATCACACTTATAGCGGCCATATCCCAAGGAAAAACATACATAGGGGAGTTTATGTTTGGGGAAGCAGCACCTTCTGTCTTAGAAGTAATACAAGCAGGGCTATTGATGGAGCTAAAAACGTAATGTAGGTATTTGTAGATCAAGGTCAACTTCCTAGTTCTCTTTGACCCTGTAGATGTAAAAGAGGAACAGGGCCCTTGGCAGAGTACAACATCCACTCCTTTCAGAGGGTAGGGGTTCCCTGGACACCTGGTCCCCACAAGTCAGCTAGAGGAGGGCCTCCCTCACTTACAGCAAAGTGCCTGTATTCCTAAGAAATAGATAATGCTTCCAGGGAACGAAAGTCACTGAGGACCAGCTCACTTGCAAACAATGTTCTCCTGTTTCTGTTCTTACCTGGTGATTTGTGCCTCCTTCCTCCCTCCCTGACTATTCCAAACATTTTCAGAGTCCCTGCTGGGCACTTCACTGGGCACTGAAGGTGTCTTATACCATGGTAATCAGAGCTGTTTTCTGTACCCAAGGAATTAAAATCAAACAGAGAAGGAAGACAATTACAGTCCCATGTGGTAAGGTGGTCCGAGGAGCATTTAACTCAGGAAGGAAGGAAAAGGGACTTCCTAAGGGAAATGGCACCTAAACTGAGTCAGGACATGTAATGCATCTGTTTGCGAAGAAACCAGTATCTCTTAAGCTTCAGTCTATCAAATACAACATTCATTAAACATTGATAGATTTGTCTTAGATATCAAAGTGTATTGGTTTAGCTAATTGTCCATTAGCATTTCTAATTAGCACAAGAATGAAACCATTGTAGCCTCCCAGGATAGACCTTTGTTGACCTGTTCTTCAGCTTCTGAATTAGTATTTCACTCATCTGAGTTGCTCAGAAAAAACACTATTTTTAGAAAATCCCCCATTGTGTTTAATAGGGTAGTGGTGAGTTGTGAAAACAAATTGCTTATGGACAATGTAAGTCAGGGCCACGCTGCACTTTCTGTTCAGTGTTCTAGCCCTTTGCTAGGAGTTCTGTCCACACTAAGTGTCTCAGGGGAGGGAACATAAATGTAGAGTATTTTGAGGGAACAATCAAAGGTTTTGGGACTTTAGTGGAAAATAACCAAGAGCTTACATTGTCATGTGCCTGCCTCTGAGCAAGAAGCTCTGAGAAAACTGGCCTCTCTCCTCACAACAAACCACTTTGTAGACTCATATTACTGTGAAGGAAGAGGTGGCAGAGACGGGGAGTAACTTCCCACAGACACAGTCTCTCAGTGAGGGGCCAAGCCAGGATGCTCTTAATCCCAAACTCATACCTCTGAGAGTGCTCCGCGGATCGGCAGCCTTCACGTCACCAGGGAGGGTGTTAGACATCCAGAATCTCAGTCTGCACTTTCACAAGATTCCCCAGTGATTTGTTTGCACATTCAACTTCGAGACATGCCAGGAGCCTCTGTTCGACCTGAAAAGGAAACACAGTAGGGACAGCACTGTATATTTGTGTCTCTGCAGCACTGCCATGGGTGAGGGGAGAGATTTATGTGCCCAGGCGGGAGAGTCGGAAGGTGTTTCACCCTCACAGTAAGAAAGGCATCTCTGATGGCCACAGCTGTCCCTGTCAGGCAAGAGTGGCTTGGGGAGAATTCAACACCCCATCACCGGAAAAGGGCTGTAAATGCTGATGACATCTTTGCTAAAAGAGGGATGGATTCTGCTGTCAAAAGGGCCTGAACTACACTTTTTGAGATGCCAGGTTGCATGTGGGGCTCCAGTATTCCAATGCCATGGAACCAAAGTCTAAACAAGGGGCGGCCACATGAGTGAAACATGCACATAAAAGAGGAGGTCTAGGCAAAACCCAAATTCTATACATGTGGAAAAGCATTCTGGCCCAGATGATACCGTAGTGTTCACTACAACTGTCTTGTGTGGACCTTCCACACCATTCAGCTATAAAGTCTGAGGTGAGCAGAGAAAGTTGGGGCCACACCACCAGAGCCTGTCACCACCTGCTTATGAGTCCTCAGTATCCCCATGGCAGAACCATCTGAGCAGAGAGCTCCTCTGGCACACTGGGGGAGTGAGGATAGCTGACTCTGGTGGAGGGCCTCTCCATCACCTGCCGGCCTCAGAAAGGATGCCCAAGCCTGTGTGGGCTTTACAGTCACCCAAGCACTAGTTAAAACAAGACAGTCTGGGCCTGACTTCCAGTTCAGCTCATCAGACTCTCAAAGTGTGGGGAAGGGGCAGAGCTTCCCCACAGACTCACAGTCTCTGACACCCAGGCTCAATACCCACCATCCAGAGCAGAGTTCCTGCACCTGGGCCCAACACACCTGGCCAGATGCTGCACAGGCCCAGGGTCCCCCAGTGGAGACCCTTCAGTGGCCAGATGAGGGCCTGGTTTGCCTGTGGGCAAGGAGAATGCAGAGGCATTCCTCCTCCAAGTGGAAAGCCATGGATGGGCAAAGGCCCAACCAGGCTCTGGGACTGCCCAGTGTGGCCACCAGCCCTGCTCAGAGCCAGGCCAGGCACTCCCTGAAGCTCCAAAGGAGGCTGTGGACTGCACTTCCACAGAAGGGAGCAGACGGCATCATGACTTGCAGGCTGGTGAGGCTATTGCCCGCACACACAGACACACTGGAGGGTGAAGGAGCTATATCTGTCACCCTCCCCAAGCAGAGCCACCTCCCTGGTTCATCGTTTGTCCAAACACAGTTTAGATTTTAAGCCTTTTTTACTCATCCAGCATTTCTCTCAAGCTTCAACTTATTCTGGTCACTGCCACACTGACACCACTTTTCCAGGTCTTCCATGCTGTTGGTCCTCCTCTGGGGTCCAGCCCTGATTCCCATCTCTTATTCCCATCCTTCCCAGACTCCTAGGCAGCCCTTGTTCTCTTCAGAGCCTGTTGTCTCTTTCATGATAATATCTCTAGAGTGGCATTGTTGGGGCCTCATCCTCTCTGCTATAGCCAGTCCTGTATTTCCCTCTGAATCCAGAAAATTTTAGGCTAATGTGCTCTTCTTTCATGCTTACATACTCCAGATTACCTTGCCAATCTCACCTGGCTTTCCTGTATGTTCACCACCCCATTCTTCCCTACTGCTCAAGATTGAATGTGTCAGCAACCCAGGTCCAGAATTAATCAAATGGTCTGTTTCTTGCAGAGATTCCCAACCAGTAAGTGGAGACCGTCTCTGCTCATCCTTGCAGTGGTGGCCTGGCATATACCTGTGTTAGGGGTATGTCCAGGGGCCCACCGGCCAACCAGGTGATCCACAGCACAGAGCAATGTGATTTCAGTGGGCCTCCCTGTCCATCCTGACACACACACATGACCACATCTCTGTGGCCAAGTTCATTGATTTCCCAGAGGGTGGAAACCTTCTCACCAATGTTCAACATTGCTAACCACTCAGGAAATGCAGATCATAACCACAATGAGGTATTGCCTCACAGCCAGTAGGATGGCTACTATTTAAAAAACACACACACAGAGAAAACAAGTGTTGGCAAGGATGTGAAGAAATTGGAACCCTTGTGCATTACTGGTCAGAATGTAAAATGATGCAGTTGCTGCGAAAACACAGTATGGTGTTTACTCAAAAAGTGAAACATAGAATTACTATATGATTCAGAAATTCCGATCCTAGGTAAACATACAGAAGAATTGAAAACAGGAACTCCAAAAAGATATTTGTACACCCATGTTTATAGCTCATTATTCACAATAGCCAAATTGTAGGAAAAATCCAAATATGCATTGACAGATGAATGGACAAAAATGTGGTCTATACATGGACTATAGTTTAGCCTTAAAAAGGAAGGAATTCTGACACATGCTACAAGATGGATGGACCTTGAGGACATTATTCTGAGTGCAAAAAGCCATTTGTCAAAAAGGACAAATGCTACACGATTCTACTTTTATGAGGCACCTGAATAGTCAAATTCATGGAGACAGAAAGGAGAGTGGTAGCCAGGGACTAGGAGGAGGGGAGGCTGCTGTTTAATGGATGCAGAATTCCAGCTGGGGAAGAACAAAATGGTCTGGAGACGGACAGCAGTGAATGTATTTAATGTACCCCTAATAATGGTTAGAATGTCTATTTTGCCATAATTTAAAAACCAGAACCAAAAGAAAAGCCTTTGACCAGCACAAACATCCTGTCTAACCTGAGGCCCAGAGCAGGGTTACTTTCAAAGGGACCAGTGCCCCGCTGGGTGGACGAGAACAGACTGGGCTCTACCTTCTGGAGACAGGGCACAGGGGAGGAGGATTTGGGGCTGAGGGCCACGTGTGAGGGGGGTGGCCTGCTCAGATCCACACTCTCATGATGGCAGAGCAGCTACCTCTGGCTCCACACAAAAGATGGGGAAGCAGCAGCTCTGGGGCCCTGCCTCCCAAACCAGGTCCTCCCCTTACTGGATCACGATGCCTGCTTCCTGGTGACCCATGCCGCAGTCCTGGCACTGTCCCCACTGCCCCCAATCTCTTGCCTCCAATTCCATCAGACCCAAAACCTATCAATTTCACCTCCAGGTACCTCTCAATGCATCATTCACCACCACCCCAGCATCCCTCCCCCTGTTTGCTGATGGGCCCCTCACTGCCCCCACCCACAATGTGACCCCCTTCCAAACCACTGCGCCCCATCGGGGACCCACACCCTGACTCTCCAGAATGTTCTGGGGCTTCTGGCTCAACTCAGCAAAGAGGCTCCAGAAGAGGACGTGCAACGCTGCCAAACACTGAGACCTCCGTCGTCCAGGGCCTCACAGCCTGCCTGTTCCTGCAGCCCACTCAGACTCCAGCTGGTCTGAGCTTCCTCGGGTTGACCAAGTGGGTCACTTCCAGCCCTTTGGACATTTTTGACCCCCTAAAGGAAGGAACTGGGGTCTGTGTCCCCTCACCCCCTGGTCTGTGCACAACACAATGGAGGCAAGTGTGCGAATCCAAGGCCTGGTCAGAAAGCCGCACGCCACCTCCAGCTGTCTCCCAGAACGCAAGCTCCCCAAGTCCAGGGCCACTGTGGAGCAGTTCACATACCCTGAGTCACTCTGCTGCAAAGAAGCCAACTCCGGTCCATGTGGGGATGGCCAGGAAAGGCCACGAGATGATAGAAAAAGAGAGGGAGAGACACTGGCCCTTCTGTCCTTCTCCTTTCTCTGGCTGCCTGAACCAGAACCACCTCATCAAGCCCTTCCCAGACTCCTTACCCACAGAAGCGTGGGAGAGACTAGAGTGTTTGCTGTTGTGTTTTTTTGGTTTGTTATTGAAATATACTTGACATACAATATATTATTTCAGGTATACAACATAGTAACTTGACAATTATATGTTTATTATGAAATGCTTGCCACAATAAGGTTAGTTCCCATCTGACACCATATCAAGCTATTACAACAATATTGACCATATTCCCTATGCTGTACTTTCCAGCCCCATGACTTACTTACTTTGCAGTTGGAAATTTGTACCTCTTTATCTCCTTCACATATTTCACTCACCCCCATGCCCTCCCCAACTTCTGGCAACCATTAGTCTGTCCTCTACTAATAAATTTAATCCTGTTTTTTTGTTTGTTGATTTGTTTGTTTTGGTTTTTAGATTCCACATATAAGCAAAATCATATGGCATTTGTCATTCTTTGTCTGACTTATTTCACTTAGCATAATATCCTCTAGGCCCATCCATGTTGCAAATAATAAGAGTTCATTCTTTTTTGTGGCTGAGTAATATTCCATTGCATAATACACCACATCTTCTTTATCCATTCGTTAACCAATGGACACTTAGGCTGCTTCCATATCTTGGCTATTATAAATTATACTACAGTAAATATAGGAGTGCATGTATCTTTTAAAATTAGTGATTTTGTTTTCATCAGGCATATACCCAGAAGTGGAATTATTGGAGCATATTGTGTTTTTTGTTCATTTTGTTTTGTTTTGTTTTGTGGAAGCTCCATACTGCTTTCCAGTGGCTACACCAATTTACAATCCCACAAACAGTGCACAAGGGTTCCCTTTTCTCTATTGCCTCTGAGCAAGAAGCTCTGAGAAAACTGGCCTCTCTCCTCACAACAAACCACTTTGTAGACTCATATTACTGTGAAGGAAGAGGTGGCAGAGACGGGGAGTAACTTCCCACAGACACAGTCTCTCAGTGAGGGGCCAAGCCAGGATGCTCTTAATCCCAAACTCATACCTCTGAGAGTGCTCCGCGGATCGGCAGCCTTCACGTCACCAGGGAGGGTGTTAGACATCCAGAATCTCAGTCTGCACTTTCACAAGATTCCCCAGTGATTTGTTTGCACATTCAACTTCGAGACATGCCAGGAGCCTCTGTTCGACCTGAAAAGGAAACACAGTAGGGACAGCACTGTATATTTGTGTCTCTGCAGCACTGCCATGGGTGAGGGGAGAGATTTATGTGCCCAGGCGGGAGAGTCGGAAGGTGTTTCACCCTCACAGTAAGAAAGGCATCTCTGATGGCCACAGCTGTCCCTGTCAGGCAAGAGTGGCTTGGGGAGAATTCAACACCCCATCACCGGAAAAGGGCTGTAAATGCTGATGACATCTTTGCTAAAAGAGGGATGGATTCTGCTGTCAAAAGGGCCTGAACTACACTTTTTGAGATGCCAGGTTGCATGTGGGGCTCCAGTATTCCAATGCCATGGAACCAAAGTCTAAACAAGGGGCGGCCACATGAGTGAAACATGCACATAAAAGAGGAGGTCTAGGCAAAACCCAAATTCTATACATGTGGAAAAGCATTCTGGCCCAGATGATACCGTAGTGTTCACTACAACTGTCTTGTGTGGACCTTCCACACCATTCAGCTATAAAGTCTGAGGTGAGCAGAGAAAGTTGGGGCCACACCACCAGAGCCTGTCACCACCTGCTTATGAGTCCTCAGTATCCCCATGGCAGAACCATCTGAGCAGAGAGCTCCTCTGGCACACTGGGGGAGTGAGGATAGCTGACTCTGGTGGAGGGCCTCTCCATCACCTGCCGGCCTCAGAAAGGATGCCCAAGCCTGTGTGGGCTTTACAGTCACCCAAGCACTAGTTAAAACAAGACAGTCTGGGCCTGACTTCCAGTTCAGCTCATCAGACTCTCAAAGTGTGGGGAAGGGGCAGAGCTTCCCCACAGACTCACAGTCTCTGACACCCAGGCTCAATACCCACCATCCAGAGCAGAGTTCCTGCACCTGGGCCCAACACACCTGGCCAGATGCTGCACAGGCCCAGGGTCCCCCAGTGGAGACCCTTCAGTGGCCAGATGAGGGCCTGGTTTGCCTGTGGGCAAGGAGAATGCAGAGGCATTCCTCCTCCAAGTGGAAAGCCATGGATGGGCAAAGGCCCAACCAGGCTCTGGGACTGCCCAGTGTGGCCACCAGCCCTGCTCAGAGCCAGGCCAGGCACTCCCTGAAGCTCCAAAGGAGGCTGTGGACTGCACTTCCACAGAAGGGAGCAGACGGCATCATGACTTGCAGGCTGGTGAGGCTATTGCCCGCACACACAGACACACTGGAGGGTGAAGGAGCTATATCTGTCACCCTCCCCAAGCAGAGCCACCTCCCTGGTTCATCGTTTGTCCAAACACAGTTTAGATTTTAAGCCTTTTTTACTCATCCAGCATTTCTCTCAAGCTTCAACTTATTCTGGTCACTGCCACACTGACACCACTTTTCCAGGTCTTCCATGCTGTTGGTCCTCCTCTGGGGTCCAGCCCTGATTCCCATCTCTTATTCCCATCCTTCCCAGACTCCTAGGCAGCCCTTGTTCTCTTCAGAGCCTGTTGTCTCTTTCATGATAATATCTCTAGAGTGGCATTGTTGGGGCCTCATCCTCTCTGCTATAGCCAGTCCTGTATTTCCCTCTGAATCCAGAAAATTTTAGGCTAATGTGCTCTTCTTTCATGCTTACATACTCCAGATTACCTTGCCAATCTCACCTGGCTTTCCTGTATGTTCACCACCCCATTCTTCCCTACTGCTCAAGATTGAATGTGTCAGTAACCCAGGTCCAGAATTAATCAAATTGTCTGTTTCTTGCAGAGATTCCCAACCAGTAAGTGGAGACCGTCTCTGCTCATCCTTGCAGTGGTGGCCTGGCATATACCTGTGTTAGGGGTATGTCCAGGGGCCCACCGGCCAACCAGGTGATCCACAGCACAGAGCAATGTGATTTCAGTGGGCCTCCCTGTCCATCCTGACACACACACATGACCACATCTCTGTGGCCAAGTTCATTGATTTCCCAGAGGGTGGAAACCTTCTCACCAATGTTCAACATTGCTAACCACTCAGGAAATGCAGATCATAACCACAATGAGGTATTGCCTCACAGCCAGTAGGATGGCTACTATTTAAAAAACACACACACAGAGAAAACAAGTGTTGGCAAGGATGTGAAGAAATTGGAACCCTTGTGCATTACTGGTCAGAATGTAAAATGATGCAGTTGCTGCGAAAACACAGTATGGTGTTTACTCAAAAAGTGAAACATAGAATTACTATATGATTCAGAAATTCCGATCCTAGGTAAACATACAGAAGAATTGAAAACAGGAACTCCAAAAAGATATTTGTACACCCATGTTTATAGCTCATTATTCACAATAGCCAAATTGTAGGAAAAATCCAAATATGCATTGACAGATGAATGGACAAAAATGTGGTCTATACATGGACTATAGTTTAGCCTTAAAAAGGAAGGAATTCTGACACATGCTACAAGATGGATGGACCTTGAGGACATTATTCTGAGTGCAAAAAGCCATTTGTCAAAAAGGACAAATGCTACACGATTCTACTTTTATGAGGCACCTGAATAGTCAAATTCATGGAGACAGAAAGGAGAGTGGTAGCCAGGGACTAGGAGGAGGGGAGGCTGCTGTTTAATGGATGCAGAATTCCAGCTGGGGAAGAACAAAATGGTCTGGAGACGGACAGCAGTGAATGTATTTAATGTACCCCTAATAATGGTTAGAATGTCTATTTTGCCATAATTTAAAAACCAGAACCAAAAGAAAAGCCTTTGACCAGCACAAACATCCTGTCTAACCTGAGGCCCAGAGCAGGGTTACTTTCAAAGGGACCAGTGCCCCGCTGGGTGGACGAGAACAGACTGGGCTCTACCTTCTGGAGACAGGGCACAGGGGAGGAGGATTTGGGGCTGAGGGCCACGTGTGAGGGGGGTGGCCTGCTCAGATCCACACTCTCATGATGGCAGAGCAGCTACCTCTGGCTCCACACAAAAGATGGGGAAGCAGCAGCTCTGGGGCCCTGCCTCCCAAACCAGGTCCTCCCCTTACTGGATCACGATGCCTGCTTCCTGGTGACCCATGCCGCAGTCCTGGCACTGTCCCCACTGCCCCCAATCTCTTGCCTCCAATTCCATCAGACCCAAAACCTATCAATTTCACCTCCAGGTACCTCTCAATGCATCATTCACCACCACCCCAGCATCCCTCCCCCTGTTTGCTGATGGGCCCCTCACTGCCCCCACCCACAATGTGACCCCCTTCCAAACCACTGCGCCCCATCGGGGACCCACACCCTGACTCTCCAGAATGTTCTGGGGCTTCTGGCTCAACTCAGCAAAGAGGCTCCAGAAGAGGACGTGCAACGCTGCCAAACACTGAGACCTCCGTCGTCCAGGGCCTCACAGCCTGCCTGTTCCTGCAGCCCACTCAGACTCCAGCTGGTCTGAGCTTCCTCGGGTTGACCAAGTGGGTCACTTCCAGCCCTTTGGACATTTTTGACCCCCTAAAGGAAGGAACTGGGGTCTGTGTCCCCTCACCCCCTGGTCTGTGCACAACACAATGGAGGCAAGTGTGCGAATCCAAGGCCTGGTCAGAAAGCCGCACGCCACCTCCAGCTGTCTCCCAGAACGCAAGCTCCCCAAGTCCAGGGCCACTGTGGAGCAGTTCACATACCCTGAGTCACTCTGCTGCAAAGAAGCCAACTCCGGTCCATGTGGGGATGGCCAGGAAAGGCCACGAGATGATAGAGAAAGAGAGGGAGAGACACTGGCCCTTCTGTCCTTCTCCTTTCTCTGGCTGCCTGAACCAGAACCACCTCATCAAGCCCTTCCCAGACTCCTTACCCACAGAAGCGTGGGAGAGACTAGAGTGTTTGCTGTTGTGTTTTTTTGGTTTGTTATTGAAATATACTTGACATACAATATATTATTTCAGGTATACAACATAGTAACTTGACAATTATATGTTTATTATGAAATGCTTGCCACAATAAGGTTAGTTCCCATCTGACACCATATCAAGCTATTACAACAATATTGACCATATTCCCTATGCTGTACTTTCCAGCCCCATGACTTACTTACTTTGCAGTTGGAAATTTGTACCTCTTTATCTCCTTCACATATTTCACTCACCCCCATGCCCTCCCCAACTTCTGGCAACCATTAGTCTGTCCTCTACTAATAAATTTAATCCTGTTTTTTTGTTTGTTGATTTGTTTGTTTTGGTTTTTAGATTCCACATATAAGCAAAATCATATGGCATT